AGATATAAAACCCCTGTAAAACAACAGCCGTGGGTATGTGCAGACAGGAAGCCTTCATAGAATAAACCATGGGTTTGTGCCTTTCTGCATGTGCTGGTCTCTACCTCGCTGGTCTGAGAGCTCCCCACGAGCCAAAATTCCATCTGGGCAAGGCTTGGGGAATTTGCTCCATCACTGAGAGCTGCAGAAGCAACCTCAAAAATCCCAAAGAAACCCCAAAAACCCCCCCACACACCAGCACCAAAAACCTAATATTTCACGAAACAAAATCCGATTCCTCATTGACAAATCTTCCTGTTACACACAAATACCTGTGAGACCTCCCTGTCAAACCTTTACCTTTTCCCAAACCCCCCTTTTTTCCTTACCCAGGAGCACTCTGTGAATTTGGCCAGCATGGACGTGGAGGCTCCTGTATCCATGACCCTGAACCTGTCGGAGCTGGCACACAAGGAGCACATCCTGGAGCTGCTGCCAGCCCTGGAACCTTTGGAGAACCGGGTTCGTTACACCATAGCCCAGGGCAACGAGGAGGGGCTGTTCAGGATCCACCATAAAGAAGGGCTCAGTTTTCTGCACCTCGGCCGTAAGAAAATCCTGCCGGGCACGTACCTGCTGGAAATCGTGAGCGTGGCCCTGCCCCGCCGCAGGGAATTGCACAAACTCGACGCCAACAATCACCTCGACTACTTGGCAGGGGAGCTGGGCCAGGCACTGAGGATGAAGCTGCAGCTCCAGCTCTACTAAAGCCCACCAGAGACCCCCCCCCACCCAACCCAACCACAGCCCTGCCCCTGCCAGCCACCCCGGGAACAGCAAAAAAACCGGAAAAAAAACGGCAAAAAAACGGCAAAAAACCAGCAAAAACGACAGCAATGGGATCGTCCTCTCCTGCCACCGCTGCCAGGACAGCCTCGGGAAGTGTCCCTGTGGGATCAGCCTTGGGGAAATGTCCCTGTGGGATCAGCCTTGGGGAAATGTCCCTTTGGGATGAGCCTTGGGGAAATGTCCCTTTGGGATGAGCCTTGGGAAGTGTCCCTTTGGGATCAGCACCTCCTGGGACAACCATGGGAAATGTCCCTTTGGGATCAGTTTTGGGAAATGTCCCTCTTGGATCAGCACCTGCTGGGACAACCATGGGAAATGTCCCTGTGGGATCAGCCTTGGGAAATGTCCCTGTGGTATCAGCCACAGGAAATGTCCCTTTGGGATCACTTTTGGGAAATGTCCCTTTGGGATCAGCCCCTTTTGGGATCAATGTCCCTTTGGGATCAGCCCCTTTTGGGATCAGTTTTGGGAAATGTCCCTTTGGGATCAGCCCCCTTTGGGATCAGCCCCCTCTCTGGGGATGCTCTGCTCTGCTCTGGGGGTGCCTGAGCCGAGCTCAAAAGAACCAAACCCGAGTCCAAAGCTCCCAAAATCCAAAGATTCCGAACTCCTGAGCAGGGACCCCCCTCCCTCTGCTCAGCCCTGAGCCAAGGGACAGCTCGGGTTGTCCCCTCCATGGGCAGGGACATCCAAGGAACAGAATCCTTGACTTGGGGTCACCTGTGGGGAGGGGGGGAGCTGGGAATCGCTCCCCTCTGACCAAAAAAAATGTGGAAAATCGGGATGGGGTGGCTGGAGGGCTCCGTGCTGCCCCACATTTCCCTTCTGTCCCCTCCTCCCTGTCCCGCTGATCCCTGCAGGGCCATTCCCGGAGTTTTGTACAAATCCCTGCAGTTCTCCAGCAGCCCTGGGCCCATCCCCGGGATAAACGGTGCTGATGAATTCCTGGGATAAAAGATGCTCATTCCCGGGATAAAGGTCCTGATTAATTCCTGGGATAAAATGTGCTCATTCCCGGGATAAAAGATGCTCAATCCCAGGATAAAAGGTGCTGATTCCTGGGATAAAATGCTGATTAATTCCCGGTATAAAACATGCACATTCCCGAGATAAAAGATGCTCATTCCCAGGATAAAAGGTGCTGATTCCTGGGCTAAAATGCTGATTAATTCCCGGTATAAAACATGCACATTCCCAAGATAAAATATGCTCATTCCCGGGATAAAAGATGCTCATTCCCAGGATAAAAGGTGCTGATTCCTGGGCTAAAATGCTGATTAATTCCCGGTATAAAACATGCACATTCCCAAGATAAAACATGCTCATTCCCGAGATAAAGGTGCTCATTCCCAGGATCAAGGTGCTCATTAATTAATTCCCGGGATCAAGGTGCTCATTAATTAATTCCCGGGATCAAGGTGCTGCCTCCTGCCGGGCCCGCGTTCTGCACTGTGTCCATCCACCCTCCCATATTTATGGAAAACCACCAAAGGAATGCTGGCAGGAGTGCATTTTCCTGTAGCTTTACTTTTTTTTTAATTTTAATTTTAATTTTTTTTTTTTTTTTTTTGGAGGGGTGGGAATTTCTGCTTCGCTGCCGCAGGGGTGGGGGATGTGTGTGTTTACTGTATCGGGGCTCCAGGCAAACTTGAAAACTCTTCAAAGCAGCTCCAGACTCTGGATTTTACAAGAGTCCCAGAGCTTGTGACAGGATGGGTGGCCTGATGTTTGGGATTTTTTTTATATAATTTTATATTATTATTTTGGTTTGTTTTTTTTTTTCCAACAGTTGCCTTCTTTTTTTTTTTTTTTTTAAGAAAAAAACCAAAATCCAAAAAGTATTAATAATTATAATAATAATAAATTAGCAGAGCTGGGTTTGTGTGTGTGTGTTGAGCCAAAGTCTCAAAGCTCGAGGTTTCCTCTCCTCCTCTCTGGTGTGGTGTTTTGGTTTGGTTTATTATTTTTTTTTTTATTTTATATTTTTTTTTATATTGACATTTCTTACTGGTTATTTTTTTGGGGGGGAAATGTTGAAACCTTTCTTTTTCTTTTTTTTTTTTTTTTTTTTTTTTTTTTTTTTTTGTATCAGAAGCAACGGCAACAATAAAATTATTTTGGGTTATTTTTGGGGCTGTGTGTTTGTGTGGGCACAGGCTGGGGGAGGGCAGGGCTCCAACCTGGAGCATCCCTGGGGACAAAATTGGGATTGTCCAGCCTGGAGAGGGATTTGGGATGAGGGATGGGGGGGACAGGGAATGGCTCCAGACTGGGACAGGGAAATCTGGGTGGGATTTTGGGGAGGGGCTGCCCCTGGATCCCTGGAATATCCCAGGCCAGGCTGGAGCCACCCGGGACAGCGGGAGGTGTCCCCATGGCAGGGGTGGCACTGGGTGGGCTCTGGGTGGGCTCTGGGTGGCTCTGGGTGGCCCTCGGTGGCTCTGGGTGGGCTCTGGGTGGCTCTGGGTGGCTCTGGGTGGCTCTGGGTGGCTCTGGGTGGGCTCTCCCGGTGGGTCCAGCCCGGACGCTCCTCCCAGGCCGATATTCCCGGTTTTGGGAATCTTTTCCCGGCTCCCAGCGCAGACGGAGCCCGGTGCCAGCAGAGGGCGGGCGGGACTGCGGCACCTGCGGCCCCACAGGGGACAGGAGAGGGGACAGGAGAGGGGACAGGAGAGGGGACAGGGGAGGGGACAGGAGAGGGGACAGGAGAGGGGACAGGAGAGGGGACAGGACCGGAGAGAAAAGGGAGAGAACCGGGAATGGGGACAGAACCGGGAATGGGGACAGAACCGGGAATGGGGAAACAGGAGCTGGGAGAGCTGGGAAATGTCCCCGGAACAGCTCCGTGGGTGAGACGGGATCTGTGTGGGACAGGAGGAGGCCGAGCTGGGTCCCCAAGTCCCGGGGGGGTCACTCTGGATTTTGGGGGGTGCTCCGGTTCCCCTCGCAGACAAAGAGCGCAGCAGGAGCCGGCTGGGGTTGGCACAGTGCGGCTTTATTTCCATGGAGGGGGGCGAGCTTCTCCCCTCTCTGGCCTCAAATCCCTCCCGCAAACCCTCCCGCTGCCCACCAAGGGCTTTGGGAGCCCTGGGGCCACCTGCGGCTCCCCTGCTCGCCCCTTGGCCACTTGCAGAGAGCTCGGAGTGCCAGGGAGGGGCTCCCGTGGACACGGCGTGGCCACCCCAGCAGGGACTGGGATGGATCCCATGGGAGCTGCCAGGAGCCTCTCCCGAGGGTTTTGTGTCTCCCTTGACCCATCCTGGTGTCACCAGGTGGGCGAGGGGGGGGCTCAGGGCTGCCCCTCGCCCAGCTCAGCCCAAGGGGCAGCCAAGGGGAGGGGGGGGG